CGGGGTAACAGAAGGGAGAGGTGCGCCAGAATCTGAGTGAGGCAGCAAATCATACGATTCTGCTACCTTGACTCAGCCATGACCCCTCTGGTGGAGGGCACCCTAACCCGGTGCTCTAACCCTAACCCAATCCTAACCCTGCTCTAACCCTAAACCCCCTACCCTAACCCAACCCTTACCCTAACCTAACCTTTAACCTAACCTAACCCTTAACCCTAACTCCTACCCTCACCCTAAACCCTAACCCCCTATCCATAACTCTAACCCTGCCCCTAACCCTAATCTATACCTGTGCCAAAAATCAAATCCAGTGTGTTGCCTGCTTGACATGTGTTGCCAAAACAAACTGGGAGAGCCCTAGTGTAATGGCTTGGCTCTCCCACAGAAGCGAGACACCGGCAGTAATTATCTCAGGTTTATTGCTCAAACACATAAATCACTCCAGAGCTCCTTCACTCTGTGTCTGACTCCAAGTTTGCAGTTGCCGAGTCTAAACTCCGCCCTTCTTCTTCTTCCAACAGGGGGAAAACCCTTTCGCTTCCGCTCTTTCCCCCTCCTCTCACTGACCTCTTCGCACCTTCGAGTTTTTGGGCTATCTATTCCCAGCCTCTCCCCTTCTGTCTCTGAGCTAAGGTTGGTATTTGGATCTTTGCTATCTGCTGCCTGCTCTCTGCTTTCTGAAGCTATGCCACTGGGCTGCCCCTCCTCCCTCTCACATTCCAGTGTCCTTATCTCTCTTTTCCTGCTTTGATTCCCAGCCTCTGTCAGCTCCTGAACGAAGTGAGGCCGTGGAAGACACCAAGTTCAGAGCCCATGAGGAAGGGGCAGTGTCAGCATGGGCGCTGAAGTCCCCCAAAACCAATAGGTTAGGGAACTCCAAGGCCCAGCCTGCCACCACCTCCAGCAGGCCTGACAGGGTGGCTGTCAGTGGTCTAGGTGGTTGATACACCCGCCAGCCAGCCAGGCTCTCCTTGGTGCCCCACACCAGGCCAACACATTCAATGCCGGAGATCTGTGGCTCTGGCAGAACCCTGAAAGAGCAATTCTCCTGGATTAACGACGACACCCCTCCCCCAACCCACAGTCCGCGATTGAACTACGCTCTAGTCTGGTCTTGCTTTCAAATGTGAACTGTTGACAGTGCAAAGATATAATTGCAACTGTTCACTTTGCAAAGGAAACCATCATTTGTAGTTACCATCTTTTTCCATGTGTTAGTCAATGTTTTTTGCTTTAAAAAACTTACTCAAAAATTGAGGTTTGTCTTATACACGGATGGTGAACCCCAAATTAAGAAATCAAAATTTTAAACATCAAACATAACTTTGATATTTTCCTAAATATTCAAAACACTGGTATTTTTAGTATTGTATATTTAAACATCACCGGCAGTGAGCTTTTTTTAGGTGATTGCAAGCTCGCCTCCACCCCCTCCGTCTGCCACCACTGCGCCAAGCCCACTCGTGCCTGAACCTGAGCCCGAGCCATTATACCTTCTATTTATATATGACTGGGGGGGGCATTCATCCAGAAACAGTGAAAAGATTCCAGAACAGTCGTATATAAGTGGGATTGGCACTCTGAGCATGCGCAGCTTCAGCTGCAAGTGCTGATAAAAGCAGAACTTTTGTTTTTTCCTTTTGCAAACAACCGACCAACAAATGCTGCCTACAAACTGTAGTGTCATGACTGCCTATAGACTGTGTCCGCCTGCATCTCGCTGCTAAAAAGAGTGAGACTTAGTATGACGTTACAGCTCTTGCTATAATGATTGTAAATAGTGTTACCGTGAAGCATTTATGACCAGTCAAGCAATAAAACACGTGACTGAGTTTTACGGTGTCTGTGAATGTTTCTTCTCAAAGTGTAGCTTCAACTGCTGACGACTGCTTCCAGAAACTCAGCAGAACAGACTGAAAGCTGCTAACAAGGTGCCTACACATGAGTATCACTCATGCCAGCAAAAGTGTGATGGACTGTGACCTTAATACTCCTTGGAGGAAAAGGTGGTATAAAAAGGCAAATAAATGAATTTTAATAAGGAAAATGTAAGGTTCTGCACTAACACAGGAATAATCAGCTGAACATATATACAATGGGGTAATACTGGTTGACACGAGTCAGCCAGTGTGACGCTGCCAGTCAAAAAGGCTAATGTCGCATCAACTGAAGTATAGTGTCCAGTTCAAGGTCAGACTAGTCTTGGACAGATGACACCTGGAATACGGCGTCCAGTTATGTGTAGAGGAGGGTGGTTAAGAGATGACAAGGGTTGGAAAACAAGCCTTGTGAGGAATGGTGTTAGGGAACTGGCTGTGTTTAGCCTCGAAAAGGAGGCTGAGATGGTGGAAATAGCTCAAGGAAGAGCTTTCTGGTGGTGGAAGCTGTTAAACAGTGAAATGAACTCCCTCAGAGGGCGGGGGGTGCTCCTCATTGGAGGATTATAAGCCAGAGCCTGGATGGTCCATTGTCATGGATGCTTCAGCGAGATTCTTACATTGCAGGAGTTGACAGATAACCTTGTTGTTGTTTAGTCGTTTAATCGTGTCCGACTCTTCGTGACCCCATGGAGAGCACGCCAGGCACTCCTGTCTTCCACTGCCTCCTGCAGTTTGGTCAGACTCATGTTTGTAGCTTCGAGAACACTGTCCAACCATCTCATCCTCTGTCACCCCCTTCTTCTTGCGCCCTCAATCTTTCCCAACATCAGGGTCTTTTCCAGGGAGTCTTCTCTTCTCCTGAGGTGGCCAAAGTATTGGAGCCTCAGCTTCACGATCTGTCCTTCCAGTGAGCACTCAGGGCTGATTTCCTTCAGAATGGAGAGGTTTGATCTTGCAGTCCATGGGACTCTCAAGAGTCTCCTCCACCACCAGAATTCAAAAGCATCAATTCTTCGGCGATCAGCTTCTGTGGGATTCCAGCCTCACTTCCATACATCACTACTGGGAAAACCATGGCTTTAAACTATACGGACCTTTGCTGGCAAGGTGATGTCTCTGCTTTTTAAGATGCTGTCTAGGTTTGCCATCGCCTTCTCCCAAGGAGCAGGCCGTCTTTTAATTTCGTGACTACTGTCACCATCTGCAGTGATCATGGAGCCCTAGAAAGTAAAATCTCTCACTGCCTCCATTTCTTCCCCCTTCTATTTGCCAGGAGGTGATGGGACCAGTGGCCATGATCTTTGTTTTTTTTGATCTTGAGCTTCAGACCATATTTTGCGCTCTCCTCTTTCACCCTCATTAAAAGGTTTCTTTAATTCCTCCTCACTCACTTCATGGATCACTGCCTTGCCGTGGCGAAGGGGCTTGAATAACTCGGAGAAGCTATGAGCTATGCCGTGCAGGGCCCACCCAAGATGGACAGGTCATAGTGGAGAGTTTTGACCAAAACGTGATCCACTCCAGTATGCCTGCCAGGAAAACTCCATGGACCAAAGACAAGAGATTAACCTTAGGGTCCCTTCCAATGCTACAATTCTATGATTCTTCCCACGGTGAATTATTTAATGGACGTGAGCTTGGTGCTCTTACTGAAGTTCTTTCCACATTCCAAGCACTGATATGGTTTCTCCCCTGTATGAATTCTTCGATGGACCACGGGATTCCCCTTGGAATTGAAGTTGTTTCCACATCACAAGCATTTTAATGGTTTCACCCCTGTATGAATTCTTTCATGTGAAGTGAGACTTCCTTTCCAGGTGAATCTCTTTCCACATTCCAAGCACTGATATGGTTTCTCCCTGCTGGTGAGTTTTTTTGATGGGAAGTGCGATGGGAATTTCGACTGAATCTCTTTCCACATTCCAAACACTGATACGGTTTCTCCCCTGTATGAATTCTTTGATGGGAAGTGAGATTTTCCTTTTGGTTGAATCTCTTTCCACATTCCAAGCACTGATATGGTTTCTCCCCTGTATGAATTCTTTGATGGGAAGTGAGAGTCCCCTTGGAATTGAAGCTGTTTTCCACATTCAACACACTGATATGGTTTCCTCCCCAGTGTGAATTCTTTGATGGGCCGTGAGAATGCGCCCTCTTACTGAAGCTCTTTCCACATTCCAAGCACTGATATGGTTTCTCCCCCGTATGAAATTCTTTGATGGGAAATGAGATGGGTGTTCTGATTGAAGCTCTTTTTCACATTCCAAACACTGATATGGTTTCTCCCCTGTATGAATTCTTTGATGGGAAGTGACACTTTCTTTCCGACTAAAGCTCTTTCCACATACCAAGCACTGATAGGGTTTCTCTCCGCTGTGAATTCTTTGATGGGAAGTGAGATTATCCTTCCGAATGAAGCTCTTTCCACATTCCAAGCACTGAATGTGGAATGTGGAAAAGAGCTTCAGTAAGAGGGCGCATCTCACGGCCCATCAAAAGAATTCACAGTGGTGAGAAACCGTATCAGTGCATTGAATGTGGAAAGAGCTTCAGTCAGAAGGGCCCACTCCACTTCCCATCAAAGAACTCACAGTGGGGAGAATCCCTATCAGTGCTTTGAATGTGGAAAGAGTTTCAACCTGCAAGGAAAGCCTCATTTCCCACCAAAGAATTCATACGACTGAAGCTCTTTCCACATTCCAAACATTGATATGGTTTTTCCCCTGTATGAATTATTTGATGGGAAGTGAGACTTACTTTCCAGGCGAAGCTCTCCAAGCACTGATATGGTTTTCTCCCCTGTATGATTATTTGATGGGAAGTGAGACTTGCCTTCCAGGTGAAGCTCTTTTCGCACATTCCAAGCAATGATATGGTCTCTCCCCGCTGTGAGTTCTTTGATGGGAAATGAGATAGGAGCTTTGACTGAAGCTTTTTCCACATTCCAAGCACTGATATGATTTTTTCCTGCTATGAGTTTTTTGATGGGAAGTGAGACTCCTCTTGGAATTGAAGCTCTTTCCACATTTCAAGCACCGACAGAGTTTCTTCTCAATGGGATTTTTTTGATGGGAAGAGGAATAGAAGCTCTGACTGAAGCTTTCTCCACACACCATGTAGTTATATGGCTTCTCCACTGTGTGGATTTTGCAGTGGTCTCTTCTTGTTCTTAATTTCCAATTCATCAGCACCTGTGACAATAAGAGAAATGGATTAGCCTTAGGAAGAAACTGAGCCCCAGATTATTGAACAATGATAATCAATGGCTTGTGAGAGAGAGAAAAGAGAAGGGAGTTAGACAATTATTTATTTATTTATTTATTCATTCATTTATTGATAATAATTAGTATTATTAATAATAATAATACCCTGCCCATCTAGTTGGGTTTCACCAGCCACCCTGGACAGCTTCCAACAAAATATTAAAATACATAATCTGTCTAACATTAAAAGCTTTCCTAAACAGGGGTGCCTTCAGATGTCTTCTAAAAGTCTGGTACTTGTTTTTCTCTTTGACAACTGGTGGGAGGGCGTTCCACAGGGCAGGTGCCACTACCGAGAAGGCCCTCTGCCTGATTCTCTGTAACTTGGCTTCTCGCAGTGAAGGAACCGCCAGAAGGCCCTCTGCACTGGACCTCAGTGTCCAGGCAGAACGATGGGGGTGGAAACACTCCTTCAGGTATACTGGACCGAGGTTCTGATTTGAAAGAGAGGGTAGAGCTGGATATTATATGCATACTGATGAACACCCAGGTCTTACTACAAGGTTCAGTGTCTTTGTATTAACTGACATATTTATAGGAACCTGAGGTCAATAAAGCCTGACTCTTTTCTGGGATGGATTTTGCTTTGCCCAATCATGGATTCTTCTCCATCTCCAATGTTAGTTTTCTCTTGAGTCAACCAAAAACCCCTGACAGAAGCTGTTTCAACTTTCCTAACAGCTCTGAAGCCTAACTGGAGGGAGAATATGCACAGACAAAACAGTTGATAGTCCTCCATTGGGGAGTTAGAATCCTTGATGCTGTAGATGGTGCTGTTGAGCTCCATCCAATTACTGGAGGTTTGTCACAATACTCAATATCAAAACAGAAATTATGAAGCAAGAGGGAGTCTTACTGAGAGAGTCCATGACCTCACGATTCTCCTCCATGACTTCCTTATGCAGAGCTCTCTGGTCAGGATCCAGCAACACCCATTCCTCATCTGTGAAATGAACAGCAACATCTTCAAAGCACACTGGACCCTAAAAGAAAAAGGTTGTCCTCTTAGACAGCATGAAGAATATAAACTGTACACTGCTCTGCTATTTTCTGCCTGTGAATTGCCGTGTTGTTTTAATTGGATGGGTTTGCTGCACATTTCAATTATGTGAGCTTGTTTTAACATTTTAATGGATTTTTTGTTGTCTATTTTAATGATGGGTATTAATTTTGTGTAATAGGGTGGAACTTCAAATCCTTCTCTCTGTGCAAGCATTCCAGCTTGCCAGATGGAAAGATCCCCACTCCACTCCCCAATGCGCTGTTCTTGGCGGCGGGGGGGGGGGGGGGGCTCCCAATGCCCTAAAGCCAACTGCAAGGGGTGCATGGGGGCACAAGGAGTGGGAGGAAAGGGAGCTGAGCCCCATTGTGCAACTGATGTGGCTGGCTAGAGGACTCCTGGCCACTGCTTAGAAGCCTGTCTTAGCATTCAACAATAAATATATAAATAAAAGTGCAACAACATACCGTATTTTTCACTCCATAAGATGCACTTTTTTCCTCTTAAAAACTAAGGGGAAATGTCTGTGCGTCTTATGGAGCGAATGTGTGGTCCCTGGGGCTGGGGGCGGGGAACCCGGGCTTCCCCCACCAGCCCCCAAGCTCTGGGAGCGGAGGCAAGGCTGCGTGCAACCTTGCCGCCGCTCCCCGACCTGTTCTGGGGGCTGGGGTCGGGGGAAGCTCGGGCTTCCCCTGCCCCAGCCGCGTGGCTAAAAACAAAGCCAAGGCAGCACGCAACCTCTCCAGCCAGGAGAGGTTGCGCACGGCTAAAAACGAAGCCAAGACAGCGAACCCGGGCTTCACCTGACAGCTCCAGAAGCCTGTCCGCTGCTCTTTGGGGCTGGGGTGGGGAATAAGATTTTTTTTCCCCTCCTAAAAACTAGGTGCGCCTTATGGTCCAGTGCACCCTATGGAGTGAAAAATACGGTAAATAATACTAGCAACACTCGGAAACCTAGTTAAGGAGAGGTGGCTGTTGATTATTCACAGCACACAAATCTTCTGGAATGGCATGTTCAGACTTTGTTAAGGGCAGTTTCACAGCAGCAGGAGGAGGGGGAGAGATTCATTTGGGCCCGGAGGCACCCAGGCAGCCCCACCCCTCAGCCTCTTTCCCCACAAGGCTTCTTCCTCCTACTTGATCTGGTTCCACAGCCGCTGCTTCCCCTCCAGCACCATGAAAAGATGGAGGAGCATGTCTTGATGGCATCATTTGGTCACCTGTAAGTAAGAAGGCAAGTAGGAAGACACAGGTGCATGCTTCTCTCAGAGGTCAAGCAGCACGACTCTAACTTCAGGTGGGCCTTACGTAAAGTCTTGCCTGCTGAGTGCATTTGGATGTTTGTACTCATTTCACATTTTCATGCTACAAAAATGGATCTCCACTCCTTGGGGTTCTTGGGACTCAGCTACACAGCCACAAATAAAAGGCTTTAAGTGTGTTTTCAGTGCAATATGCAATGTGACACTAAATGACGGTGGTGAGCCTTATGGAAAAGTCAATGTATTTTTTAAAAAGCATTTTCAGAACAGTTTTTATGTGTGTGTAGACTCCATGTTGGGCCCAAATGTCTTCCTCAAAAGAATTCAAAGAACCCATTATATTAGTTTCAAAATCAATAGCATGTGCCAAAATGTAGAAAGAACTCATCAGTCCTTACCCAACAGCCTCTCTCTGGTTTCCCACAGAGTCCTCTCTGAGGAATCCAAGCCCTTGTCTGCAAACAGTTCCTTTCCCTGAAAGAGCAACAAGGATTTAAAACAGGGAAGTTGGAGAAGTACTGGAAAAGGAATGGCAGAGGCATTTCTTGGATGCTTTCCAAAAAAGGATGGGATTTAGGGATGCTCTCCCTCATGTTTGGAGCCCCTTAGGAGCATCCAGAGGAAAGTCTCTCTCACCTGCTGCTCCGCCTGCTTCCTCTCCTCTGCCTGACTCAGGAGAAAACCTTCAGCCAGGGCTACTGCCTGGGAACTGGTCTCTGCTCCACATTCCCTCACCCAGCACTCCATCTCTAGTGGAAGGACAGCCAGGAACTGCTCCATGATCACCAGGTCCAGCATCTGAACTTTTGTATGCCTTTCTGGCTTCAGCCACTGACCATCAAGACGGTAAAATTGGTTGCAAACTTCTCGGGGTCCTTCAGTCTCCAGGGAACAGAGCTGCCTGAACTGCTGGCTCTGCACCTCTGAGCAGAGGGTGTCCTCCTCACCCAGGACCTTCTGCAGCGAGTTTCCCCAGAAACTCCCACTGCTCCCAGTTTTGATAGCATGGCCTCTTCCTGCTTCAGGGTCAGCTGAGTCTTGCTCATCCATTTGTGCTCTCATGAAGCCTCGCGGAGATCCCTTTTTCTTCTGCCAAGTTCTGTCTGTCCCAATTAGAAGCACTAGCAAGTCCTACAAAACAAGCGCATTGTTCTGTTATAAAATTGGTATACTGTCAGGAGAAGAAAAACGTTCCCTGAGTAAGCGTGGATGAGTCTTACTAGGAACCAGGGTTGGACTGCACCACAGCACAGACTCTGAGCTTTCTCTAAAAGAAAAAGGAAGACTTTAGCCCTCCTAGAAGTAATGTTGCCATACTAAATGTGCAGACAACTGAGGGCATTTCTGTGAGATGAATACCCCGCTTGTTCCTGCCTTTCAGTCAATGCATGAAGTCAGAACTGCGACTGACGAGTGAGTACCAAATGCATTGTGGACACTAGGCTGTGGTGGGGGTCCTAAACCTGGGGCCCTCAAAAGCTGCTCCCCGTCCTGTCCTCCCCCGCTAAACACACAATCCTTTCCTGTTTCTGTCTCATTTTCTAGCACTTGGAATCTCCAATGTTCTCAAAACATACTACTGGTGTGGGGTCTTCCCTTTTTTGTTCTGAGGGCCAGATACTTACCTGGCCAACCCCCTGAGGATGACGGGGGTAAGTTCAAAGCACGTGGGGGTGGAGCCAAGGGACAGCGCTAAAAAGCAAGTAAAGAAAGACTCATCTTGTTTCTGAGATCGTAAGTTGTTTTAAACGGTTTTAATGTGGTTTTTAATGTTGTAATCTGCCCTGGGAACTGAAGGTGAAGGGTGGATTAATGATGATGATGATGATGATGATGATGATGATGGTGTGACAAAGCTTAACCCACACACAGCCATATATGCCTGGGGGTACTCCTGAATCCAGCAGGGTCACTTGAGGCTCAGGTGGCCTCAGGGACTAGCAGTGCCCATTTCCAGCTCTGGGCTAGTTTGCCATCTCTGTCCCTTTGGGACTGTGACGAGGTGTCCCTTGTAATCCATGCTCTGAATCAGATTGAATTACTGCAATGCCCTCTGTGTGAAACTGTCCTTGAAGAGAAGAAGAGGAGGAGGAGGAGAAAGAAGAAGTTTGGACTTGATATCCCACCTTTCACTCCCCTTCAGGAGTCTCAAAGCGGCTCACATTCTCCTTTCCTTTTCTCCCCCACAACAGACACTCTGTGAGGTGAGTGGGGCTGAGAGACTTCAGAGAAGTGTGACTAGCCCAAGGTCACCCAGCAGCTGCAGGTGGAGGAGCGGAGACACGAACCCGGTTCCCCAGATTATGAGTCCACCACTCTTAACCACTACACCACGCTGTAGGAGGACTTGGAAGATGGTCCAAAATGCAGTGACCAGATTATTGGCTAGCTGGTGGGCTCGCTCTCTTTATTAACTGTATTTATATCCCACCTTTTTCTCCAAAAAGCTCTACTTGGCTTACACCCCTCCTCATTTAATCCCCACAATGACCTGAGAACACATTTACTTGCTTTTTTAAAACTGCTGCATTGGTTGTGAGTTCATTTCTGAGCCCCATTCAAGGTGCTCACATTATCTGAAGAACCACCTCCTTCTCTAAAATACCCATTGGATGTTTTTGGATTGGGAGAGGTCTTGGTAGTCTCACCACGCTCAGAGTTTTGGAAGGGGGATGTCCCAAGAGAGGCATTCCTTGGTTGGGGAATTCCCTCCCACAGAGGCACATCTGACACCTTCTGCTATTCACCAAAGCCTCTGACACCGCAGACATGTGTTTACAGGACCACCCTATTCCTGTGACTGTATTTTGTTGATTTTAAAAATTGCTGTATCCCGCCCTGGATAATAAATGGAGTAGTAGTAAAAATAGTGATAACAATAACAACAAGAACAGCAGTAACACATACCTTAAGAAAGTGGGGAACTTGCCTGCTGGAATTTGCAGAGGTTTTGTTGCCCCTTGAGGTTACAGAAGAAAACACACACATCATCAGTACTTGGCTCAATCTGGTTGATCTAAATTTAAATGTAAACATAAATCATCATCTTCACTTTGAGCCTCCCTCCCACAACTCATCAATAGACCAACATTTCCATTAAGAATCACAGATTTGTAGAGTTGGAAGGGACCATGAGGGCATCTAGCATTCTTCCATTTGCAACATGAAGGGGGGGGGGGAGAGTTAACCTAAGAGCAACCACAAGCTTGCCTCTCTAGGAGTTTGGCTATGCTATGTTGCTTCTGTTTAAACCAATTCAGGAACCAAGGAATCAAACCAAGGAATCCTACGTTGAACACTCATAATGAAACATATATTGCAGATATTCCTGCAGATGTATTTTGCTATTTTTGTGATATACAAATGACATGAGAAGACTCAGTCTAATTATTGGTATCATTCATTACTTCTATTATCCTTGTTTATAAGGTTCAATAAAAAGTTATTCAAAGAAGAAAGGAAAAAGCACGCCCGGGCCACACCTGCAATGTACCTTCAAAGCAGAATCAGACCCCGTGAAAGAGCCATGGCTTCCAAAGAATCCCGGGGAACGGGGTTAGTTCGGAATGTTGGGAATTTCCATCCTCCTGCTGCAGATGTGTGGGACTGTTATATCGCATGCCTGCATTTACATTCCGGCCCTGATTGTGGGAGTCTTGTGAGGGCGGAGAGCTGCCAGGCGAGGTTCCCCGTCCCACCCCCGGGGGCTAACAACCCGTCCTTCTTGCCAGCTCGGAGGCCCTGCCTGCCTCCCGCGGGAGGGAGATCCATACTTCACCGCAGGAAGACGCGCTTTCTTTTCTTCCGACCGTCTTTCTCTACGGATTGCAGGGCTCAGGTGTTCATTTTTTGCCCAGATATTTATGTCCAAATGCTTCTGCCTGGCTTCCCCGTCTGTGAATCATCTGCTTTGTCTCTCGTCCTTTGCACGCCCGTTTCCCCCGGACCCAGAGCAGCGCCCGGACCCCGAGGAAGAGCCGCGATGCTCAGCTCCCTCCTGCCCTGGGGGTCCCCGCGCACCCCGGCTGCGGCCCCGGGACCGGCTCCCCCTCCCCCGGGGGAAGAAAGACTCGCCCTCCGAGGCTCCCGGGAGGAGAGAGAGCCGAGCCGGAAGAGACCAGCGAGGGACCTGCGCCCGCCGTCCTCTCGAGGAATCCGGCGCCAGGCCTTTTCACCCTTCGCTTGGGCTCGGGATGCCTTCCTCTCTTGTCCTCTCGAGGAATCCGGCGCCGTGCCTTTTCACCCTTGGCAAGCCTAGCGCGCCCAGCTCCGCCGCCCTCTGGCCCAGGAGGGAGTTCCGGCCTTGTTCTCTTTGGGGGTTGGGGGGCGGAGCGGTTCTTGTTTATTTAAGACCCTTATTAACATCCCCGCAAGGGCTTTGCGGAGCTCGGGGTTTCCTGTAGCGGACAAGGAAGGTTCTCCGAGGGACCTTGTCTGTGGACTAGTTGGAGTGGCGGGAAGGAGAGAGCGTGAAGGAGTCCTTTCTTTGGGACTGCGCCGCCAGTGCTGCCAACAGACAAGGAAGAGAGTCTCTGGTTCAGCCCCCCTCCAGCCCCCAGCCCTGCTCCTCGACTTCCTGCAATATCGGGGGGGGGGACTTCCCGGCCTGCCTTCTAGGGCTGTTGTAAGAAGGACGGGGTTTGTTCTTAAGGAAGCACTTCGGAATATACTATGCAGAGGTCTGGCTTATCTCCCAATGTTCTGCCACCCCATCTTTCCTTGGCGTGGCTCTGGCGCTGCCCAAACACCCCTGCGCCACCCTCCCCCTATGAGATGGGTCTGGACTGGGTCTGCACCAAACTCCCTCTTATTTCCTGCTGAGAGCTCCTCTTTGAACACTTCTCTCCTAAGGTAGCAAAGGATGAGGGGTGTGGTGGAATACAAAGGATTTATTGAAAAATAAACAAGGGTTTCAAGATAACTGTGTAAAAATGTTCATTTTTGTTACTTTATTACAGCAGGAGCAATGGGGAGTATAATGCTGTTCCTATAGTACTAATCTAACCAACCTGCTTCAGAACTGCCACTGCTCTCTCCCCTCTGTTAAGGAAAAAATCCAGGGTGAGAGACGACTCAACAGCCCAGCTTGCCAGGGTGCAAGTCCCCCGCGGTTCTATGTGGTCAGTAAAAGAAAGAAGTTCCAGCCAAGTATAGAATCATAGAATCATAGAGTTGGAAGAGACCACAAGGGCCATCGAGTCCAACCCCCTGCCAAGCAGGAAACACCATCAGAGCACTCCTGACATATGGTTGTCAAGCCTCTGCTTAAAGACCTCCAAAGTAGGAGACTCCACCACACTCCTTGGCAGCAAATTCCACTGTCGAACAGCTCTTACTGTCAGGAAGTTCTTCCTAATGTTGAGGTGGAATCTTCTTTCTTGTAGTTTGGATCCATTGCTCCGTGTCCGCTTCTCTGGAGCAGCAGAAAACAGCCTTTCTCCCTCCTCTATGTGACATCCTTTTATATATTTGTACATGGCTATCATATCACCCCTTAACCTCCTCTTCTCCAGGCTAAACATGCCCAGCTCCCTTAGCCGTTCCTCATAAGGCATCGTTTCCAGGCCTGTAGTAACGTTCCACTCGCCCACACTACCCCTCCATCACCCGACTCTGCTCTCCGGCCAGTCCAGGTTTCTTGAGTAGGTTGGCGAGGGAATTTACTTTTCTCAAACACAGGC